TTCACCGCAAGTGCTTCTAAGGTCGTGAAGAACTTCCTTTTCACAATAAACGATATTTAAAACGATCTATGTCTTTCTTTGTCTAAGGAATTGTTTTCAGTAGCCGCGTGGACCGAGGCTGCTCATGGAAATCCTCATCACGCTTCTGTAAACGAAGTGCTTCAATAAATGCAGCATTCTTAACACATAAACGCGTATACCGTTAACTTACATGATGCTATCGGGTTTCCTTAAAAGCTCAAACTTGAACCATTCCTTATAATTCTAAACATCCTATAGAAACTCTCGAAGATCATGACAACCTCACGAAACCACTTTACAATATAAGTTGTCCCACATAAAAATAATAATCACCCGCACTCCATGAAACTATTCACGAAAACGACCAAAAAGTGCTCCCACCAGGGCTCGAACCTGAGACCTTGGCGTTATTAGCACCACGCTCTAACCAACTGAGCTATGGGAGCCGTAAATACGAAAAAGAAAAATTACATTGGTGCATAATTCTTACATTAATTGGAGCGAACCAGAGAATTTCAGTTGATGGTTTGAAGGTTTCCCGTTGATGATAATTATGCAAACGTTCCATTCAATTAACTTGGAGATGTGAATGCTTCGCCAAAGAAGCGATCATGTCGTCGAAGAAAGTATTAACAACATTTTAAAATAAAACGCTTTCCACGAAGCAGATGATTACCAGAGTTGCTCTATCGCCTTGACGAAATCAGGCCTGAGACAACCATTTAATGTAACAGAGTCACGAAAGCTCCCATTCTAAACCCTTCGCTCACAACATGAAACCTATCCGAACCACGAGCGCAAACATCCCTTCCTCCTGCTTTCTGAATCGGCGTAGCGTAGTGGTTTCAACGCGTTGGTTTCCGGAGCCAAAGATCGTGAGTTCGACTCTCACCGTCGATGTTTTTGACCTGATAGAGTAGTCGTAAGATGACCTACGAATGTAGACAACGTTTTTAACATTCAGTCATGCAATTATCATCGAATTGATAGATATATCGTCACATTCTTACACTTCCATAATCAATCTTTTGCTTGATTCAATGAAAATCTCAAAGAAGTCAAATAAGAAAATGAGGCATAATCCTCTGCATATAGACAATGCAACCACCCTGGAAGGAGTCAAGCAGAAACGGAAAAGGGCAAAATATTCCGTGCGCGAAGAAGAGCGCGAACTGAAAGCGGATGGCGCAAAGACAATTGACGCGAAAATGTCCAAGCGCATTCTCGAAGAAGCCCAGCAGCAACTGGACGAAATTAAAGAAGAAGAGGACCAGGATGATGGCATCGCATTCAACCATGAAGGACTACAGGGCGCTGATTCTTTTGGTGTTGCATACGATGAAGATCAATTATCAGATCTTGAGGAAGAATCTGTAGCTGCCTCAGATGATGAAGAACCTGAAGAAGGATGGGAAGAATGGGATCAGGGCATTGACGAGATGGACGAAGAAGACCAGAGAATTCTGAATATGTTTTCTGCAGGAAAGGAACGCAACCTAGCGGATCTGATCATGGAAAAGTTCAAGCAAAACTCTGCCAATGCTGGTACCGAAAACTCCGTAGCACCAACAGATCACGCTGGTCCTCACGAGTCTGGGCTCTCAGAAAAGATTGTTCAAGTTTACGAGAAAGTTGGTCTGCTTCTGTCACGTTACAAGAGTGGTAAATTGCCCAAAGCATTCAAAATACTTCCCAGTCTCAAGAACTGGTTCCAGATTCTTCCTATAACTCAGCCTGACTCTTGGACTGATCACTCACTCATGCAAGCTACTCGTTTGTTTGTGTCCAATCTGAAACCAAAAGATGCACAGCTGTTCCTTAGAGAAATATTATTACCACGCTTTAGACTGGCAATGGCGCAGTACTCAGCCGGAGAAGTGTCGCTTAAAGGTCATAAGAAGATCAGCATTCAATTGTATATGGCATTGAAGAAAGGTCTCTACAAGCCTGCAGCGTTCTTCAAGGGCATTCTATTTCCATTGTTACAAGAAGGATGCACATTAAAAGAGGCAATGATACTGTCAAGTGTACTGAAAAAGTCGTCGGTTCCTGTGTTGCATGCATCAGCTGCATTAATGAAACTTGTCAGTTCATCTGCAACATCTCAGGAAGAATACAATCCTTCCACTTCAGTGTTTATCGGAACTTTACTTGATAAGAGATTCGCGTTGCCGTACAGGGTGTTGGAGGAATGTTGCAAGTACTTTGTGAAGTATGCAAGTTACACACCAAACTTTTCTCACAGTTCCGGAATGTCTGGTTCAATTAGAATGCCTGTTCTGTGGCATCAGAGTCTTTTGGTCTTTGTCCAGAGGTATAAAATGGATTTAACAGAAGAACAGAGGGCTGGATTGTTACAAGTTCTAGACAAACAATGGCACAGAGAGATTAGTCCAGAAATCAAGCGTGAGCTCACAGCTACGGCCGACGCCAAGGGACGAATGGATTTGGATCGTTAAGTTTGATAGAAGTATAAGAGATAATAGATCCTTTACAT